CCCGTTCCTCGGCCACCCTGCCCCCGCTTCCAGAGGCTGCTGCTGATCCCTGCGAGCCGGGAGCTCCGGCTCGGGTGCAGTGTGTTGGGAGCTGCCGAGCAGCCGCTGCCGGGCCGCTCTGCAGGCGCCGTCTGTTGGACACCCCTGTTTTTAAAAGATGAAAAGCCGTTAACGTACTGAAGCAAGCAATGGCATTACATGACTTAACAAAAACAGAGACAAATCTCTCCTCCAAGGCACATACCTAGAAGATGTGCAGAGCTGCAGGGGCTAGTTGCAGGGCTGTGCATTGATTTAGATGCATCTCGGCTTGCCTGACACGAGGCTGGGAGTCGGGGCGGGGGGTGCAGTAACGTGGCCTTTCCCAGCTCTGAGCAGTTATTGCACATAACCCCGGGGACCGTACTACAGCGGAAGTCCCGAATTGGCCGTGACCTGCCTCTGCACATTCCTCACACCACACAGTGTAGAAACCTTACTAGCTCTTCCTGGAGAAAACACGCAGCATCCAGAAACAAGCAGCAGCTTGAGCTCATTACATCAAGAACACAACACCGTGGTCCAAGGACTATCTCCAGCACAGAGAGAGAGAGAGAGAAAGAGGCGCAGCATGCCACAGCAGACATTACTTTTACTTACCAAAACCAAACCAAACTGAACCCAAGAATGTACACAGAACTAGAAAACACAGACCAGAGGGTCCTCAAAACAAGCCCAGCAGCGCTCTTATCGGAGAACGGAGTAGATCTGAGGCCCTCCAAGACATAGGATTGCTCTCAACACGGTTTGGTTTGGGAGGGCAGTTCCTTTGCTTATACTTTTTCTCCTGCAGTCCTCAACTGCCACCATATCAGCGCCAAGTGGAGAAAAAAACCAAACAAAACCCCAAAGGCACACAGATCCCTAAGAGGCTGTAGCTGGGGTGTGCAGTCTGGCACACGCACGCGTTCGGGGCCACTTGAGCCGAGACACATTTCCATTACAGAGGAGACACGCACACTGGAAAGAACTACACAGAGCCAGAAGCACCATTTTGTTACAGCACAACACAAATTCAGGAGGTGAAACACGGAGGAACACTCTCATTTATCACACCTTTATGTCCTCTGTCTTGGTATCTTCTGAGGACAAAACATCTGTGAGACCTTTTTAAAGATTTTACTTTTTTTTTTTTTTTTAAAGAAAAATTGTAGCGGTTTTGTGCCTTTGACCTGTATTTATGACTCTGAAACCATGTGATGCAGGGTCGCAGTGTATGTTTGATGGGACGCCATCTTTCAGAACTGTGCTAACTCACTCTTGAAGCGTCCAATGGTAAGAGAAATACAGAATTTTTATATGACAATGGACATTGTACTTTGTACTCCTGCTGTAAGTAGCCCTTTTCAATCTTTGTAATGACTCGGAATAAACCTGTACGAAACACGGTCGTGTAAAGGGAAGAGAAGAGCAATTGTACGGTGACCTGAACGTGTTATGCCTTGTACGTGATGGCTCGTTTTAACCTATTACTGCTGTTGCTTTGCTGCCGTGCCTGTATCAGTCTCACTCCCTCTCCCTCTGTCGGAGCGGGGAGATGTCTTGCCACTTTTTTTTTTTTTTTTTTTTTTCCTTTGTATTTTTATTTTCTTCTTTTTATTGCTATCTAGAAACTAGCAGCGCCTTGGAGGCTGGGGCACGGAGTGGGGGCACTCCTGTTTGTTTTTTTTTTCTTCCCCCCCCCCCTCGCCTTGTGGTCAAACCTCCCTTGTAGCCAGCTTAGATAGAGAAGGGCACGGCCGTCCGCGGG